GTCAACAACACAAATGAAGCTATAATGGCGTCTGCTGAATTTATGCTTAAAAATATTGTGACTTGTGACCTATGACGTCAGTGCCAGCTGATGGTTTAGAAGCAAAATGGCATGGCGTCGTGCCTGTCTAGCTGCTAAGTAAAAAATATATAGTGAAAGAATTGAAATCTTTGTGAAAGAATATAAAATGTGTCACGTAAGAGGACTGATAGCTGTAGGGCTTGACTTACTCGAAACAGAATGGAAAGAACAGTTGCTATTGTAAACAAAAGCCAGATCCAACAACCAATCAGGAGCGAGATACCCACACTACGTCACTTGCAGGTATCCCATTAAAACGAATTTTCGCTGGCCAACCAGTTTTAAGCCTAAACGAATGATTTTTGCCATTAAAATTTTTTTCCCCATGAGGTTAACAACTTAACTGATCCAAGTCTTAAATATGTGTACTCAAATATATAATTTAGGTACATTTGGGATAAAATTCAATTAAAATTTATTTCTAGGAAAACTTCACGCTTCTAAATAAAAGACAAACCTATTCTAATACCACTGGATAAATAGAGTTTTTGGTGTTTTTATCTTCCATTTGTTATTATCTTAGCAATGATTAAACAGTTTGAAATAGCTTTAGTTTTTATTGTGTAAATATTATTTGATAAACACAAATATGCATATTTCTTATCTTCATTTTTTATAAGTAGCTTAAAAACATGTCATAAGAGAGCCTAATTATTATTGAAAATCCTGTATTTCCCATAAAATCAGCTGAAAATGAGCAAGACACTAGAACTTTTCCAGCTGCTCAAATGTTCATTCCACACTTTGATCGCAAGCGGCGAATAGTATAGAAGCTTTTAATAGAATTGATGTCAGATTCGAAGACAAATTTAAATAAATTAATTCTTTCAAATTATTTTCATTAATAACTTTTGGAATGAAACATTAAAATTATCTTTTTTAGTAAGAAATGTCAATTTCAATATCTTCATTGTAAGATACATAAATTTTATGATTACAAGGAATTAAAAATTACTAGAATTAAAAATTGCGATTTTTAAATGATCAATATTATATGATTAAGGTTTAAACGGAAGACATTTTAAATTATTTTTGGTATCAATACAGAGAAATATATATATATATTTTTTTACAATTTTAATCCCTGTTTTATAAAGCTATATGTGGGCGACTACCAGTCCTGGTAGCAGGAATCTTCCAGAAGAGCAGTGAGCACTACAGGTTATTAGAGCAAATGCAGATTACTTTTCATTTAGGCCGGGATAGCTTGATCGGTAGGGCGCTGAGCCCATGTCCTAGAGTTCGTGGGTTCGAACCCCGAAGACTCCCCGTGTAGTTGGTGACTGATGCCCGTTAAATTCTGTCGAGCCACAAAGTCCTCCGTGTTCCCAAAACAAATCCAAACCTCTGGGGGTACTGGAATGGAGATTGATCGTTCTCCGATTCAGGTCAAAATTACGATCTGTGGATGAATGAATGGGTCCGCCTTATAAACAGGTGTGAGGTATGATGTGGCAAAAGTCGAATTCTTGGCCATGGATGGCGCCACTGAAAAACAGAAATCACACACTCTGCCTTAAATTTGCCAAGAAGGCTTGCCCGTGTGGCATTAGAACCAACCACTTTTCATTTAAGTAACTGTTTTATTTTTAAAACGTAAAGAAACAAATGGAGGAGGGGGGAATTACTGAAACTTCTTTTTAAAACATCTCTATAAAATAAAAATAAAAGAGTTGAATTGAAAGAACATGGCAACGAACTAAGAGTAAAGAATTTTTGCATATTTTTTTTTTTGTATCAATGTATAAAATTCAATTTAAACAACATAAGGTTATGTATAACTTTTAAGGATATATTAGCAAATTTTGCTACAAGTATGATAGATTAAGCTAAATTTTTACAATATTAATTTCTACTTGACGGCCTTGAGGTTGCAGACTAATTTGGATGTAAGAAGATAATCCTGTATCTGAGCTATTAGCTAAGCTATCTTCCATCTAACAAAAAATAAGTCGTTATTTTTTAGAAATCATGGCACACACTTCAAACACAAAAAGCTCCTTTTATTGATCACACATCTCAGTGATTTTTGATTTTTCTTCTTGATAGCCTACTAGTATTAAAATAATCATACTGTTATCTATGACGTCAAAAGATATTGCAGTTCATTCCATTTTTTCTTGCATCTTGCAAAAACTTGTTCAAACATTCTTGTGGTATGCAACAATGTACAGAGTTACATAAATCATCCTACAATCTGCAGGAAATCTAAGATAATCTAAGATTGATAGATATTTTTAATCAAAATAGTTGCTCAAAATAAAAGAAACAGAGGTTAATGTCTATTTTGTGTGTTTTTGTAAATATTTTTATATGCTTATTGCTATTTTAAAAATGAAAATGTATATTCTCTCATTACAAAAAGCTAGCTATAACGAAGATTTTATTTGCTAGTATGAATTAATAATAGACTTTTACCTTATTAGCAAATACCTTTAAAAAAAATATTACAAGTTACAGTTCAAGAATTGTTGTAGTCACTATTCTCTGTAGATATGTCTTACACTAAAACAATTGTCAACCTCTGTTAACATCAACATTTGTACTCTAATATAGTGCTTTCTTTTTAACTTAAAGTGATAGTTATTATAATTGATTCAAGTTCTGATACATTTTTCGATGCCTTAAAATATTTTCTGTATGGACGGAATCAGAGAAGTAGTAGTAATTTTTAATATGTAATGTACTAATTTTACATAAGTATCTAGTCATTATTTGATATTTCGAGCTTGCCCGCATTTGTTTTTTTCCCGTATTTATTATTTATAATGAATGGCCTATTGAGAAAGATCAATAGAGGTTCTACTGTAGGGCTAAAATATACGGATCAATTTTCAACAGTGTTTTAAAATAAATGATTTATTAAGCAGATATAGATTGAATAAACATGTTTAAAAATATCTAACTATTGACATATAATACGTCTTAAAATTAAAATTCCTAACAAGATAACAATAACCCACATAAGCGTGGAAGACCAATTGTTAGACATAGGCCTTGTTACATTTGTCTGAACAGTTACTGCACTGTTTTCAAGTTCTGATACATTTTGTCTATGCCTTAAAATATTTTCTGCTGGTAAACTAATGGACGGAACAGCAGAAGTAGTAGCAACATCGACAGAAACATTGTTATTTTCAGTTGGATCAGGATTTTTGGTTGACAGAGCTGGTTTGGTAAATAATTCATTCACAGATTCATTTGAAGGCAAGGTTTCAAACTTTGCTGAGTTAGAACATTCTTTTGTAAGAGGCGATTTTTCATCCTAAAATCAAATCATTTCAATTAGTTTCATGACAACTTTGCTCTTTAACTTTAGATAAATAATTGCAAAAACAGTTTCAAATTTAAAAGGAAAAAGAAACATACTATTAAAAATGAGTTTTATTCCCTAAATATTAAGTATTTGTTTAAAAACAATTCCATGGAAATCCTTTTCCTTCCCTTTTAGCAAGAAAAATATTTCCAAATAAAAGTAATTTTTAGTTTTAAATGTCTGCATAGTTTGAAATAAATAGGAAATAACAAATTCTTAAGAAATAACAAATTATAGAATCACACTAGTAGTAATCAACCAATCTGCACCAAGTAAAAAAAAGGAAAGTTCAGAAAAGTTAAATACATACAAATTATAAAATATCCTTTAACAACATTGATTATAAATTGCAGACTGAGCTAATTAGAAAAAAAGAGGATAATTGTAGAATAATTATGGGACAGACTCCAATACCAGACATTACAGATAGCTAGTGTTCACCTAGCGGTTTGATTTTAAGGATTATAAATTTTTCTGCTCTTTTATTGCATTTTTAATAAAAAATAATAAATTTGGCATGGAATATATCTTACACACATTAAGATTTAGGAGAAGACAGCTACAAAACACTTCTTTCCAATTAATGCTAAAAAATTGACAAGAAATGTAAAAAATTGCACAAAATTCAGATTATATTTTTCTTGTGTTTTAAATATGAAATTATTTGAATTTTGAAACATATCAACTAATTGTTCATAACAGTTTTGCGTATTTAAATTACTATTTTAATCTTAATATCCATTTATTTTAACATATAATACTTATCCACATTATTCCAAACATATAATACTCAACATAGCATTTAATTGATATATGAAGGTTATTATTTTTATTCTATATAATAATAAAATAAGGAAAAAAAAGCATTTTTTTAAAAAAATAAATTAAAACTAAAAATAGTAATTACCCTTTTAATTACAGTCTTTGTGCTTAAAAAACCGTACTTTCAGACATTAGAAAATGTATAAAAATAATCAGCTTTTAACTGTGTAGTAAAACAATTTTTCAACACAGATTTAAGCAAAATTAGATAAATAATATGACAGTAATTTTAAATTAACTTTACATGTATAATTTCTATTATATTTACTTTTACTGTAGGTTCTTCATTTTCTAGCAATTTATGATTTTCTGTTGTATCACAACTTTTCTCTGCTAAATGCTTCTTAATGCTACCACACTGAGGACATTTCCAATTCTGTGATCTGAAAAGTTAGAACCTTTATAAGTTTAAGACATTATAAATAAATTTTAATTGACATGCTCAAAGAAATTTTCACAAGCATGCTGTAATAGTAATAAAAGCTTACGTTTAAGAAAAATAAGTAGATTCAAGATGTACCTAGATGTATGATTTGGAATTGTAGAACCCTCCTTGATCAAAGGAATAGAGCTCTATATAGTGTAAGCAGTTTATAACCAAAATAAAGGGATCAAGATAATTCACTCATTAAATCAGAGTACTCACTACACCAGGTTCAGTCAAAATTAACAAAAATAAAAAAATCATAATGTACAAAAAATGCTTAAAAATGACTATTTTCTTCACAAATTTTTAGGTACACGATTATGGCGAACATCTGATAATTTGTTTTCTTTCTTTTGTGTGTGTGATCGAATCTTGATGATTTTCCAATGTAAAATACATATTTTACAAAATACATTATTTTGAAGAACAATTGATTCTAGAAAAGTCAGGAAACAAGTTTTTAGCAACTTCATGTTGGATGTGAATGGTGGAGGTTTAATTGTTTCTTCCCCATCACTGCCTGCATTTACAAACATTAAGACAATTTCTGTATTTTGCAAACATATCGTCAGTGACATATGTACACAACATACATATGAATAACAGTAGGCATGAAATCTATTCAGTGGTTTGCATAGCAATATTTAATGTTCGTTAATGCAATTGATTTATATGATTCAGAGCAAGATAAATGAGGCTCCCTTTCTTGATAATATACATACAATTTCTGTTCAAATTGAACTAGAGGAGTGGTTTTTAACACAAAGAAAAGTTGCAAAAAATTATTCTTTCAAGCAGTTTAAGGAAATGTTTTAATAGGCTCCAAATGACTGGGTTTAATAGAAATTTATTTAATATTAAATCAACCAATTATTCGAAATTTCCTCATTAAATCTAGAGCCTCGTTAATTATTCAAGGTTCGCAAGTTTAACTGAATTAATTTAACGTAAGTTTTTTTTTATATTCCTTCAGTAGTTTTTCATTCGTTTGAATGAGAAGTTCATTTGTTTGAATGAGAATAAAAAGACATTTAATGATTATATAGAAAATTGCATACATTAGAATATATAGAAGATGAGTATATAATGAACATCTATGAATATTTACAATAAAAGAAATATTTTATAAAAAACAGCAAATAGATAAAGGAGAAATTATGAGAAATAGAAAAACTAAAAGAATACTGTCTATTTAAAGATAGTATTCAATTAAGTGAATGATTCTGTAAAAAAAGATAAATGATTATTTTTAATGTGATACTATGGTTTTTTTAAGGTGATGATATGAATAGCTAAAAAAGGTATATTAATGGAATACCTTAAAATGGTGGTGTACCTTAAAATTTTTAGAAGGAAATAAAAAAAAACTTAAAATACAGATTGGAAGAAGGTTAAAACACAGTAGAAGTGGATTATAATCATACTTTACCACATGCATAAAAAAATCATAAAATACGTAGAAACTACTAAGGGAGCTTGCAATGGTTCACAGAACTATTTACAAAATTGTCCTCATGGTGCCAATTTTTAAAAAGTCAGATAGAATCACAAAATATGGCTTGATATTTTTTCAAAAATATAAAGGCATATATTTGGTAAAGTATACATATCCCAAATAACATTTTAAAATGAAAATGATAAACTAACAAAAGAACAATTTGCTCTATTTAAGTACAAAAGTAACTTACCAAACTTTATCAAGTATTTAAAAATACAAGTATTTAATTTTTTAGTATTCAAGAGTAGTAAAATATATTAATTTTAATTTCAAAATAGTTTGAGATAATAATAAAACAGCAGCATTTAAAGTCATCATAACCAGCATCATTTTTTAATATTCCACCAAATGGATATTTAATTAAAATTTGGAATTAAGTTCAATACTTTTAATAAAATAATTTACAAGTAGGATATCAATAATTTAGGAACAAAAATGAGGTTAATATGCTACTTTGCATTTTTGTAAAAAAAAGTAATTTAGTGGGTGATCTCTTAATTTTCTAATTAAAAATTCATAATTACAGCATAGTTGATTGGGATCAATAATTTATATTCCCTGAATTTACCACCATAAAAACTAGATAGTGTATAATTATTAATTGAGTCTCTTATTCATAAAAATTTAAACAATGATTCCCATGGAAAAGGCTAGATGCCTGAACTATATATATAATTAGTCGACAGTCCTTGAGTTTAAACTATCAATTTTTTACTATTAATTGAAATTTAAAAAAAAAATGGATCAAGAATAAAAATTTCCAATTCCTCAAATAAATTATTTTAAAATCTACAACTATGGGTAGGAAGCGGAACATTCTGAACTCACACAAAAATCAGGTTTATCGGTTCAAAAAGGTAAAAATCGCGACAAATAAGAACAAAATATTTTTATCATAAAAATCAGGTCAACTACACTACTACTACTAATGTAGGCTAATGTCAGTAAAATTCATTTCTAGACTTTAAACATGCTCTTGGTACCTAAATAAAACAAAACAACTAAGATATATTTTATTAGGTAGCAATGGTATGGTGGTATTGTTTTGATAAAGGAATGAACTTAGAATTAGATCCATAAAAGTGCAGGTAATCAAAAAGTTGCAACAACTACTATGGGGATAAAAAAAAAAGAAACTTATAGAATGGTTTTCATGCACCAGAGAAGTTTAAATCACAAAAAATTTGTTTTGGCTTTATATAAGATATATAAATCAGATGTTGGAGCCAGAGAAACAATTTAAAAAAACTAACAGAGAATCTGTATCGGTTGGTTTATGATATTCCAACCAAACAAGGTGGAAACACATTTAATTATTTTTAAAAAATTTCACTTACTTTTTTCAAAAATATTTCATTTGAAACAAATAAAACTATAATAAAATAAACCAACCAATTTCAAGCCTCTATGTCCTTGTCAGAGATAACATAACTAAATACATATTTTTTAAAAAAATGAAATAACTAAAAAGAAAAAAATGCACAAATGATAAAAAAAGTATAATATTTAAAGATAGAAAACAGTTGTGTACAGGATAAAATTTTCTGTCTATAAGGTTAAATATAATATCTCGGAATATATACATGAACATAAGGTTGTGCCATATGTTTAAAGGAAAGGAACTTAAGAGAAAATGTTTTTAATTAATTATTCTGACAGCTTTGGAAAATAATGATTAGTTATGCTCCAAATATTTTACATAAATTAATAGATTCCTCCTCAATTTTCAGTACAGTACAGAACCCGTTATCCGGAAATCAGAAAACCGGAAAACCAAAAAACCGGAACGAAATTCGATAAATTTTCCCCCCATTAAAAAAGTTTTTTTTTTTCCTCATATGATTTTAGGATTTCTCTTTCTTTTTTGAAAGATGTTTACCTTACCATCATTTTGGAAATAATCATTAGTGTATTACTTCATTTTTTCTTCTTTTTAAGATTATTTCCAAATATATATATATATTTTTAGTTGGGTTTAACAATAAAAAAACGGCTTTTTGTAGCGATTCAGAAAACCGGAAAAATCAGTTATCCGGAATAGCAATGGTCCCGATCATTCCGGTTAATCGGTTCCCTACTGTACTTTTTCAAAAAATAAATATATAAAAAAATAACCAAACATTTTATTTTAATTTACTACACATTATTTTTCCTTAAACAATGACATTTTTTTAATGATATTTGATCCTAGTACTCCCTGAGACACAAATAAAAGAAATCAATTAAAAATAAAAATAGATACATTTAAAATCTCAATTAATGTAAAAACAATACCAATTTCACAAGCAACTCATTTATCATAAAAATCATTTTGGACTACCATATATTTAAATGCAATATAGTATAAGATTTTAAAAGCATACTTCAGGGCTAATTCTTTTCTTTCTTCTGGAGTATAATCAAGAGAGCCAATAGCACCATTCCCGTGAGTAGGTAGAAAGCCAATAATAGCCAACAATGCAGTCCTTACTGAAATTGAAAGTGAAAAAGCATTATACTAGAAAATTTTAAAAAAGAAATATACATACTCAAGATTTAAAACAATAATTCATAGGTGAAATTCAAAATGGTTTGAAAGTATTTACCTAGTGATTAACTTTATGGTAATAAAAAATAATTCTGCATTACTAACAATTATTTCAAAAAAAAAAGAGACCAATGTGTCTCGTGACCAACAGCAGAATTGTAGTACTGTTGTCAGAATTGCATACACGTAACTGCTACTTCTGAAGCACACTGGTACACATTGGTCTGAAGCTGGGTGGATTTTAAGTTGCCACAGGGGATCAAACCACAGTACTTCGCAATGACAGTTTAGTGTCTTAACAGTATGCTAGTATGGTGCCAACCACATAAATATTCTGAATTTGATTATGACAGCATATTCTAAAGAAATAAAAATTGCAAATAAATGAACTTTTCAAAAGTTTAAAATGGATTTTAAAAAATTTCAAAATCCTAAATCATTAAAATAATCAAGCACAGCCTGACCTACAATTGAAAACATCATTTCTATCTACAAAATATTTTTTCTTCCAATTATAACATAAAATTTGTTGATACCAAGTACAATAGTTATACTTTTAGATTTATTTATAAACTAAAATATAGTGGTAATATGGCAACTAATGCAGTTTACTAAAATATTAATCTAAATGAGTAATCCAATTGGAAAACTTCACAAGTGCCTTTATTTTGCAGACAAGTTAGTACTTATTGATCTAAAACTTGGCAGATAAACTGCCCATTGAGGATAGAACCTCAATCCTACACATTGACAGTTCAATGTCATTAACCACTGATCCATCGTGACTAGTCAATTTCATGAAAAGCATCCACGAAGACTATTTTTTAAATTTTAGCACAATAAAATTATTTTTGGTCTTAAGTTGAAGATAGAAGTTGGGATTTCATAAAAATAATAAGAAAAAAAATTATATCGACGTAATTATATCTTTACATTTAATTATGACACTTTTTTTGGTAACCTTAGATAGTAAATAATAAATTTGGGTCATGTCTGTCACAAAAATCTTGAACTTCTTTCATTTTAGCAAAATTAATTTACGTTAAATAATTTTAAGATATATTTCTTTTTCTGGAATAAAAAAAGAATTATTATAAAAAGTGAAAAACAAATTTTGAAATTGACTGAAAAAATAAGGTTTAAAATTTGTCATGTCTGACCCATGGGGATCTAAAGTGTTGTCTAATATATATATATATATATTTTTGCTATTTATAACAAGAAATCTTACTGCATATAGTTAACTACTTAATTTAAGCATTGAACCCTGTTTCATGATCCAAGCAAATTTTTCAAGTCGAGCAGAGTATTAACAAAAGTGAAGAACAAACAAGTGGATATTTCAAGATTATAAGAGGTGCATATTAAAATTTTGAAAACATTAATAATGTAAAGAATTTTATCTGAAGAAAATCATTGAAAACATAATTCTGAATGTTATTCAGAACATATAACAAAAGAAAGAAAACATTTAAAAAAGTAATACTACAACACTGAAAGTGCCAGAACCCAATTTAGTACTAAGAGTTTGTTTACTTTTAATTATCAATGGCTAAAATAGTAGTTGAAAGGCAAGAAAAGAGAAGCAGTGGGTTAGAGGAAAGTGGTTAGAATAAAAAGTACAAAGAAAAAGATTAAATGAAGGAAACCTTAATGCACGAAAAATTTGATTACATAAAATACAAAACAGAAAAGTGTTTGTTTAGTGAAAGACAAAACAAATCATGAAAAATACCCTCTAAACCAATAAGAGCAAAAATAGTACAACATGCACCCAAATTAGTTCTAGCTTCTAACAAAAGAATCTTTTGCAATTGCATTCATGAAATGACAAAGAAAGCAAATAAGCAGGAAGTTTTTTACAAATGATTGTATAACAAGTCAGTCTCCAAGTTCTAATTGTAAGATATTAAATTTTTTTATTATATAAAGCTGGAAAAACAAAGATACAAAATAAAGACATCTCCTTTGTATCTAAAAAGTATTTAAGATATGTCCTGGGATCAATATATTATTTGAGTCTAAGGAAAAAACCCAGAATGATCAAATTTAGGTCAGGATAATACAAAATAATGAGATAAATATAGAGAATAGGTTATTCAATTCCAAGAAGGAGATAGTTCAATGCTGATACTTACTAAAATAAAGCATTTCATGGGCAGATAACTAAAACAGAAAATGAACAATCAATTCTTCAGTGTCAATTGACATAAAAGAAGCTTCCAGATTTAAAAACTCATAGCCAGATAATCAGTACGAAATGTGTAGAGCCTTAATGTTAATAAATTTCTGAGAACATTGAAAACTTTAACTACTCCTTTTATAATTCGTTTATAAAATATACTGTTTGCAATTTTTTTCGACTTAATAAAAATTAAATATTTTCATTTACAGTAAAATAATAGCTAAATACAGTACAAAACTATACATGTCTCATGTCTGTTACAATTCCTTGTCTTTCATGCAGGAAATTTTTCTTTGGAAAAGCTATTTTTTAAAATTTTTTTTTTATTATATGTCTTAAAATTTAGTCTTTTTTTTAACTAAAATTTCTGACTCATAATTCAACTAAATTAAAAATATAACTGAAATTTTTGACTCGATTGGTCGTATTGCTCAGTCACTCTAAATCTATGTCCATTTTTGTCATTCACAGGATATTTTTATTTTATTAATTAAAACTCTTTATGCCTAAAGTAAATATTTTGCAAAATTTTTAATTGAAAAGTGTATAAGTTTTTCCAAAGTAAAATTGGAGAAGATATCTTTGTAATCAGTAAATAAAATTAGATAAAAAAGTAGTCCGATGTCACATCAGTCACTCGTGCAATAGACCGGCTCTAGTTCTTGTAGTAAGAAAAGAAAAGAAAATGAATGGATAAGAAATAAAATTTTGGTTTGTATAAAGGAAAATTTTAAGTCACAGTTAGTTTAAGATATAGAAGTAATGTTAAGCACTAACTTAAGATGAATGCTGACTTATTAAACTAATTTATAAAAAAAACTTAAAAGAACCTACTTTTAAGACTAATTAATTAATAACTATAAATAGAATCTTACCTTTCAAATACAAATTAATATTGATAACTTCAAAAAGTCAAATATTAGTCATTAAAAAAATTTAATTTGAATCAGCAATTACAATTTAAAAATCAATGTTTTTCTTTTCAACTGAAAGTATATAGAGTTGGAAAGATAAATTTTATAGTTAAAATTTATATAATTTATTTCATCTTAGAAAATTAAAATAAAATAGATTGCAATTGAAAGATATTAGTTATTTTTCATATTAGTTTATAAAATTCTATATTGCCAAAAAACATTCATGAATTAAATGTCATTAAAATAGTAATAAAAAATCAGTGGTAAAGAAAATAACTATACCTAAAATTTTTAAACAATGAGACAGATCTTTAGACATTTAATTAATGCATACAAATCTAAATAGATAAAATTGAATTAATGTTGCTATTATAATACCAGACACACAATTATTTAAAAATATAAGATACTGAGTCTCAGAAAATTTAGAAATTTTAACATGCCTAATAAAAAATTGTTTTAGAAACATAAAGGTGTATCGATTATCAAAAAAATTACAACATTATTTTTATATAAATACTGTTAAATTAAGTATGTTATAATCTGTATTAAGTATTATTAACAAAAAATATAAAGTGTGAATAAGTATTAATGGAATAAATGCAGAGCATTATTATTAACAATGTAATAATTTGCCCCCTTCCTTTTAGCTAAAAAAAAATACAAATATTAAGTTCAAGAGAATTTTAAACAAACTTTATATAAAAAAATTGTGCTTTAATAACCTGAAATTTCATTAAATATTTGAAACAGGTGTTAAGCAAGAAATCTAAAAATAATGTCAATTTTTGGTTCTTTTAGCTTTCACTTTATAGTTTCAACTTTTATATTTAATTAACTACAGCTATAAATGACAAATTTATATTCCAAATGTTTTTTTTTTAAAAATAAAAATATATATGACTAGAGAAATGCAAATAAAACTAGCTTTGCTTTATTATTTCTTATTTATAAAATTAAATTTAGTAACATTCATAACAAATGTTTTCAACTATCCAATATCTTGATGATTTTGATCAAAATCTGAGAATGCCCTAAGGTACTTCAGGATATTTCTTAAAAAAATATTTACATGCCTGGTCTGAAACAAGGGTCTCAAATTTTTTTATATATGCCCTGGGTAAACAATGTAATTTTTGAGTCATGATTGCACATTATTTTTAACCCCTGTTTTTTTTAAATAATTAAAATAAACTCACTTGACCATGATGGCTGCCATGACTCAGGATGATAACCAGAGATACTGAGACAAATTTTTTTGTTAGTTTCAAACCGCCCATTAGGCTAGGAATGAAAAAAAAAATTTTTTAATATTTAATAAACATTTCATAAAACTTGTGTGCAAAAAAATAAATAAATATATATATATATATATATATA